TTGAATCACAACAATTCTACTAAACTTGATAAGTAATCTTTGACATTTTGTTGTTTAGGGTATAGGGTATAAGGTACAGATGGTTTAGAGTGTATATGTTAGAATATAATAGGGCTGGCTATTTGGTCCGGGTTTTTTGGTTTTACACGAAACCGGACCGTATAACCCGGACCGAGACCGGACCGGATAGTAAACAATCCAATCCAATCTTTGGGCATAGATTTGAGGTAAAAAACCGTTCGGGACCGGATCGAAAACTGGATAAAGACCGGATAAGGGAGCTCAACACCCAAAACTTAAGGTTAATTTGGAAAAACGGTCACAAACCTTTGCACTTAGTATAAAACTTAACCAACTCCTCACCCTTTCAGGCCTTAGGCCACTCAAATCCCCACAAGATCAATATAAAATCAAGACCAAATCGGGCCCGGACCGGGTCAAGACCGGACTGTATCCAATCCAATCTTTGGTTCTTATATTTTTAAAAAGACCGGACTGGACCGGATCAATTTGGGCCAATTTAACCGACCGGACCGTATAGCCACCCCTAGGATATAAGGTATTGACAGAAGATCCCTTTTTAATATGTGTTTCTGGTACGTGGTTAGGGTATAGGGTATATGGTGTATAGTATAAGATATATGGTTACGGTATAGCAAAATCACTTTTTTATCTATGTTGGAGGCCATTACTTCTGAGTATTTATTTTCTCTTGAATTTCTTCAATATTACATTGCTCCCACTACTTTCTTTTGATAGAAAACTCTCATAGAACAGACCGATTAACTGCCAATAAATACATGGGCACATTTTTTTTTTTACAAAAAATCACTTGTATTAGTAAGAACGCCAAGTTACATTGTGTCACACTCCGACCAAAGCCAAACTCTAAAATCAAAGCTAGTACAACTCGTAGGAAACAATAACAGTGCTTTTCTAGCCACGCTATTGTTCTGCCTACTAATAAAACAAATCTGAAAACTTGGCACAAGTAGCAACAACTGACGAATTTCCTCCAGCAAGGCTCCACCTACAGCATCGCAAACTGCACCAACATTAACTTTGTCAATAACAATCTTCGCATCTCCTTCAATCCGCACTGCAGGAAGACCCTTTTCTTGACACCACCTAATTACATCCCGTAACGCCACAGTCTCAACCAGCAATGGATTCTGAAGCCCAACATACCATTGTCTTCGAGCCTCCACCATTGAATTAGTCATGTCCTTCAACACCAACCCCGCCGACGCATGTGATCCCGAGCAAACCACCCCATCAAAAGTGCACATCAATTGCACGGCATCCTCATCCGCATCGACCGCCGCAACCATCTCCTCTGGCACACCCATATCAGGGACCCCTCCCTTCCTCCCGGTACCTGCAACCATTCTTGAACATGAAATTGGAGTTTAAGTAAAATAGGTAAATTTTGTTTGCCCTCAAAGGCCACTTCGTTACTAGCCTTTCAAATCCTAAATAGTAGGAAAAAAAGGCGCACCACCCTTGGTTGAGAGGAATCCCATTCCAAGAACCACCGAACGCATATATTGAAACACATAGTCGACAATGTCTGTAGATCCATGGCCAATCCCGCCTCCTCCCACGGAGCTTTCGCTACATGACAGTGTAAAAAAAAGTGCTTCGTACTCTCCTCTTCAACCCAACACACCGGGCATCGGAGCAAGACTGGGACCTTCTAATCATATAGCACCTCCATCGTCGGCAAAAGTCGCGGAAACAGTTCCTGGGAAATTTTTTTTAGCTTAGGTTGGATATGGAAATCCCACATCTGAATCCAGAAGCTTCGATCCATGGAGGTACATTCTTGTCTCCATATTTGAACTTTAATTTTTTTGAAGTGAGCATTTTTACTAAAGGCCTTACAACCCAAAATCCTATCAAAAGATAGGTTGGGACTCCTCCCTCTCGTTAACTCAAATGGTGCATTTTGAACAGTTAAAAAACATTATATAGTATGTGGGTATCAGTCTCCAAAGCATAGCCCCGCGAAAAAGTGGAAGATCATTTTGATTGAACCATATATAACAAGGTCTGAATCCTCTTCTCGGATTCGCCCTAGATTTTGGTCTATCATGCAAATGGTTCATAATGTTAGGCTTCAGAAAATAAGTTGTGGAACTTGCTAAAATGGGGACTAGCTCAATGGTCATACAACTAGCCCCCTCTTAGCACGATTCCATGACCCAATGTCACCTCAATCAAGTTCACGATACTAGGGATGGGTTTAGACCCTTCCAATAGGTCCAAACTATCAGCACACTAAATCGAAATGTCGATGGTCACGCACGCGTCGCTCTAGCATTGCCTAGGAGGGCTTCCCGATTGGCAGGATGGTCACCTCATCCACCAATCGGGTCCCTAGATCATTCATCTACTCCTAATTATCTAAGGCGCACAAATCCAGTCTAGAGCATGCACTCCTAAGTGGTAGTCTACTATGAAAAGAGTTGGAGAGACAAGCCCATGCATAATTAGTCATAGATGAAGCATATAATCACTAGACAAACAAATTTCAAAACACAAACCCTAACAAAATTCCATCTACATTCAAAAACCATTTGCATGATAGACCTAAATTTAGGGCGATTCCTACGCCTTATCAAGTCTTCTTCTAATTCTTCTTATGTATCTTCTTCAATCAAGTTAAAATGAATGAGGTCAATAAATGTGCCATGGCCCCTTTGAAGGCATAGTGTAGACTATTTTCATTCCACTTTCATATTTCTACACAGTCCTTTCGCTACAGTTCATTAAAATAATTTGGTTCATAATTAATAAATAATGAAAATAACATCAACACATAATTAAATTAGCTTACTATTACATAACTAATAAAATAACATATCTATACTACTTCACAATATATATCCTTGATTGAAACCAACCAGGATTGTCTCGAGACATTGTTCGTAGCACAATACCATCTTGTCTATACTTTGGATATGGGTGGTTCATTAGACCATCTCCAACAACAAGGCTAAAATGCCAAATTTGGAAAAAAGTCCCTCCAACAACAATGCTAAAATGCTTAAAAGTCAAAAAATGGGAATTTTGTGGCTAAATTTGGCACACAAACGGTTAAGAAATGGGAAAAATCCCAAACCCATTTCCTCTCCTCGGTGGACGTGCCATTTAATTAAAACACCCATGAGCACATATAAACCCCCTCTAAACCCATAATTAAAACAAAATCAATCAAATTAAACCTATTTTTAATAATTGACCTGCATTAATACGTTGTTGTTTGCATCTCCAGTCTTATTCCACCAATTATTGTATTTTTGTCACTAATGACGTCATATTTAATAATGTATATTTTTTGTCAAAATTTAAAAAATTAAATCAAAATGTTCGTTCTAATTAATTATAACTATCTGCATACAAAGAATTAACAAACTATCTAATTAAAATGATGAAATCTACACTAATCTAGATTATCATAAAATAGAAGGTTTGGCATTTTAGCATTCCTTGTTGGAACAAAACCCACTTTTGGGGTGCCAAAATGCGAAAACCCTTTAGCATTCTAGCATTTTCCCAATTTGTTATTGGAGATGGTCTTAGAGCATCTTAATTTCGACATGAAAGATGGTCCGTTTGATATTTGATTAAATTGGATTAGATGATGATTAAACTGCTCCCTTTGGCTCTCTAGGTGGAGGGTATTTCGAATTGATTGTATATTCGTCGTGGAAGAGTAAATACCTGATGGTGGTATGGAGCAGTACGACTTTTAGCAACATGAAGAGAAGGGATTCAGACTGCTGCCTCCATGTTTAGTTTCCTGGTAATTTCTTAAAATTTTCACGTTCTAAGTTTGGTCCAATTGGGTACTTAAAAGGGCTATGGTATAAGAATTAAAGGAGCATTTCAATCTCTTAGTTCGACTAGGTTTCTGATTCGATATTACTTTGGTCGAATTTGTTACTGTTGCTTGTAGGTTTATATGAGGCTGTTTTATGTGGTTGTTTAGTATGGTCTAGAGTTTAGAGTTGAGTGTGGTTTATTTGACCATTCTAATTGTTCTTATGTGGTTGTTTGGTTGGATGCCCGTGTGGTTTATGGTGCTTCAAGTCTCTCATGAAACTAGAAATTTCACCACCTACAGGCAACCCTCCACATTTTTTACTTCATAGTATAACTCATAAACTTACGAGCACTTCTACTATGCTATATAGTATTGGTGCTTTAATGTACAACTTAAAGTTGTACCATAACATTAAATGTATAAGTTTAAGTTGTACCATAAAGCAATTTGTACCATTATATTATGGTACAACTTTACAACTTGAAGTTGTACCATCACATAAAGGTACAAGTTCAAGTTGTACCATAAAAGAATTTATACAAAAAGTATAGGTACAATCTGAAGTTGTACCATAACGTAAATGTACAATTTTAAGTTGTACCATAAAGGGAAACCCCTATAGCACCAATACTAAACTTATATGTGCTAAGTTGTTCTTTGTTTCTTAGGAGACAATGAGGAATGGGGTAGCATAAGTTTGGCTTAAGTAGGAAACTTCAACAGCCTCAAGTATGGTGGATTTCCTTTTTTTTTTACTAGTTAATTTTTTTATTTGGGTTAATATATTCGTATGGTCTGAACATTTATCAAAATAAATATTTTGGCCAATCTTTTCGATTTATAACATCCTGGCCCAAACTATACATCAAAATAACGAAATTGGCCAAACCCGATGTTTGACCGTTAACATGGACGGTCAACGCGCCATGTCACTACCAACTCAACACAATAAATGTTAAAAAAATAAATAAAAGCTACATAATCTCCAATTGTGAATTATTTCAATTAAGGTAAAAAAAACATAAAAAAAAAGAAAACAATCCAATCGAACTTTGCAGATCGAACTTGCCACAAGTCGCAAACCCATACTCCATCACCGCCAAAATCGATCTCAGATTGCGATTTCCAGATCTGGGAAAAATCGAGCCCCTGTCCTCTGCCGTTCCCAACGCTGGAAACCATTCCCAATCCATTGATGGCAAGAACTACGGCCGGCTAAAGGGTGCCCCACGAGAGCTGCTGAATTCAGTTAGGGGCGAGCTACAAACTCGACGATCTGAGCCAGGAGTCGGTGGAGCAGGAGATGAACGAGGCGTCAATCCTGGCGTACTTGAATGAGGCGTATAGGTACTACGACACCCTCTTAGAGTCGATCGAGGCGACGATGAGGGGGGAGGCGGAGCGTGGGCGCGTGGAGGAAGGATTGGGGAGGAAGCTGGCGAACGCGAAGGTTTTCGAGAAATGTTGGGGCCAGATGGGGATGCCGGGTTCAACAACCTCGTACCTTTCCTCCTTAAGTGCCTTGCAGGCCTGAGTCCCCGAGTAATCAAACTCGCAAGCTTGCCCAAACACAATCGATCCTGCACCAAATATCATAAATCGCTTCTCTTTTTGACAACCTTCGCCTCCATCGTCGCTTCTCTAGCCTCCGTCGAGCTTCAGCACACAACGGCGGATTAGGTACACCCCTTGGAAATTGAAACGGGGTATGTCGGAAGCTGGAAATTGAAGCTGGAAATTGGACACGAATTAATGTTTTAGAATCAAAGAGAAGGAAGAGGCAGTTGGGAAATCCAAAATTGAAGAAGGGGTTGGGAGAGGAGACGGAGGGGAGCTGCCGGTGGGAGTTACTATTTTTTTTGTTTTAATTTAATTGTAATTATTCAAAATTAGAAAATATGTGCAAATTGTGAATATTTAATGATTTTTATGATGACCGGGCCATGACGTAGCATGTTGACTGTTAGTCAACGCGTTTGACCGTCCAAGTTAACGGTCAAATGTCGGGTTTGGCCAATTTAGTTATTTTGATGTATAATTTGGGTCAGGATGTTATAGATCGAAAAAATTGGCCAGGATATTTATTTTGGTCAAAGTTCAGGCCATATAAATATATTAACTTTTTTTATTTCTATTACCTTTTTTATATATAAAATTATTATAGTCCATGGTCAATTAGATCTTTGGATTGGGAATAATTATTGTTTTACTTTAAATAAGACTTATTTGATAGATCATAATAGGCTATGAGTGTTTTTATTATTGTAAGTGAATTTTTTATTTCTTAACCATGATGTATATATAAGGACATAGTGGTGGTTGGCTTTTACAGAAACTTCTCTAATCTTTTGTTTGGTGTTTGTTATATATCTCTTTTATCATTCCAAAGAGGGCGAAACTCTGCCAAAGACCATGAATGCAGAAAGGTACTCATTTATTGAGTTATTCATTATTTCACATATGTTTTCCCCCATATATTTTGTTTAAGGATTATGATCTTCATGTTAACATCTTTGATAGGTCTATCTACCATCGAAGTATGGCAATCATTGGTACATAGCCGTGGTAGTGATAGATATAGAGGAAGTACATGTGGTTGACTCTGCACCTACGTCAAATAACAATGAAGAACGTGTGACGTTGTACGGAATATGGTTATGTATTATTTATAGTTGAAGAAAAGATTTGGGGGTTTTCTGTCCTTCTCTTGAGGAAGGTGTGAAACAGTAAAGGAGAATTCACAAGTGTAGCCTTCGTGTGTCTTGAGAGAAACAGGGACCCACATCAAGGTCCACAGAAAAAAGAGTCTCTATGCTGGTCAGATTTGTATGTGAAGCTACATACGAGGAATCAAAGGATCAAAGAAAAGCACGAAAAACACTTCTTACTCTGATACACTACATACGAGGAAAATAAGCTTCATACTGTTTTTTGGATAGACAGCATTAGCCTAGCTGATATTTCATGCTTTGGCGAGTTGTTCGCATTTGACACAACCTAAAGAAAGAACATTTACAATATATCGATGGTTATTTTCACAGGTACACAATAGACATATATTGGTTTTATGAAGTATCACAAAGACATAGGGGTGATAATGGTATATAAGATCAAAATGACTTGGTTATGCCTATATTTAGACTAAGAAAGGAACTAAAGTTCCTAGTTATGCCTACATTTTTACACCGGATGGAACAAAAGTTCCTAATTTTTTTTGTTTGTGTTTCAATTTGAACTCTAAAGGTCAATTTTATAAAATGAAACAATAATAAGATTCCTTAAGTATTCATTACAATCCAGCTATAATGACTACTATAACAATTAGCTTATTCGGGTGTTGACAATGTAGCTTTCAATCATCATTTCAAATCATGCTTATTCAAGTGTGCACTATTGCGTAATGAGACTGAAGAGACCTAATGCAACACAAGAAGGGGATAAAGTAATGAGAATGTCATTGCTAATGTGTTCCCAAATGCAACGCATCAGCTATGTGCATGGTATTTGTCCAAGAATATCACTAGTAGGATGAAGAATCGGCTAGACTTTGAACCCCGATGGAGCCACTTTAACTGCTAATTACGAGCGAGATAAATTTGTGGAGAAATTGAATTCATTGGTAGAATGATGCGACCTACAGAACAACCAATAGGTGTCCAAAAACCTGCTTGGGAGACGCAATGAATGGGTAAACACATACTTGCGCTCCCGCTTCTTTGTTGGGTTGATAACCACATTAATATGTGAAAACATGAATGCAGTTTTTGCTAGATATAGACATGAGAGGATCAGTTTGCTTGACTTTTTTTACTCAATACGACCGGTGGATTAGGGACATGAGGGAAACAGAGGTTAAATTAGATATCGAGTCTAATTATGGTGTAGTTCCGGTAAAGAATATTATCCTAATGCCCCTCAAACAAAGTGCATCTAAGCTATTCTCAAGAGTTTCATTTCTAAAATTCAAAAGTGAGCTCTAGCAGGTTATTAGAGTCATAAAGAGTAAGCAAACTGAAGAGGGGAAATTACACGCCTAAATTACACGCCTACACTTTAAGCATGTCCAACAAAGACAAGTTCGTGGAGGTGAAATACAGCATTGAAAGGTAATGAGCAACACATATTAGGTGTTCTTATTATTATTAAATGGTCTTGATAATAAAAAATTTAAGATTTTAGTTATATAATAAGCAACAAAGCAGCTGGAGTAATAATGATTTGCAACCTAACGAAAACGGTTAGCCGCTAATGAAAATTGTGTCACACTTGCTTATTCATAAATTTCTCAATTTGTTAGAAGTAACTATTAGCTTAAGAGTTAATTTGTCATCGTGTAACAAACCAGGGCACATGCTAGGAGAACTACTATGAAAAATCGACAGGAAAATGAATATAATAAGCATACATGACCTTCTGTTGAGCCTTCTACGCAAAGTTCTAAACGCAAGTCTGAGAAGTCTAGACAGGTTTTTTAGCTAAATTAATCTAATGCATCCTAAAGTATAATAGATGAGAGCCTTTGGTGGAAGCTACATCTTCAATGTTCTTTTATCATGTTTTTTCTTTTTAAGAAGAGGGGACAAGTCAAGAAGTTGAATAACACATCCGAAAGCAAGAAGTTGAACAACATCTAAAGTAAGGAGCTGAAACACTAAGTTTTTGGGAATTTTTCCAGAAATAGCACCTTTTAAAAAAATTACAAAAATAGCATCCAGCGGAAAATATTTACAAAAATAGCACCCTTTTTTATGGACCGCACCTCCAAGGTGCGGTTTATTATCATGGGCCAAAACCGCAACTTGGCCAAGCGGTTTCAGGTCTGACATACAAAAACCGCTTGGCCGAGGTGCGGTTTTGGGCTGACCTAGCAAAACCGCATCCCCAAGGTGCTGTTTTGCCACACAAACCGCACCCCCCAAGTGCGGTTTGTGTTTCAATTATTTTCCGACACCAGACAAGCAACCATGCAGATTCACAAAAGTGGGGCTGCATGGCAGATGAAAAACGCACCTCTAAGGTGCGGTTTTCATTGATGATTTTGCCTATAGAAGGCAGCCGGGAAATCTTCTTCTCTTAACACCTCTCCTTCTCCCTTTTCAATTTTCTATTGTAGCTCCATATTTCTCTAGTGTTTTTGCGGTTAACGTTAACTCGTAAGTTTTTTTTATTACTTTTTATTGTGAATTGTGATTTGTGATTTTTATGATATTAGTTGAACTATTGTTTTTTTTTTTGTTGCATATGGCATTCCAAAAGTTCACGCTTGGGTTACGGTGGAATGGTTACACGGAAGAGAGCGGAAAGGGGGTCAACTACGTCGGTGGCAATTTTCAGAAAATAAAGGTCGCTACCAGGCCGATGCTTGAAGACCTCTATCAAATGTGTACTAACGTTACTTGCATGGATGGCACGAGAAGAGTTGATAGTATGGTGTACCGATATCCAAACAGAGAAGGCGGGTCGTTGTGGCACGAGGAATATCTCATAACCACTCAGGATGAGGTAGATGCCATGCTCAAATTCTTGAGGTCCAACAAACTTTCCAAAGCCGAGATGTTCGTTTACACCGAGCCGGTCGTAGGTGTTGGAGGTCATTCTGGAGACGGTCAAACATCTGGTATCCATGGTGAAGGCGACTTATATGGAGATCATCCCTACCAAAGTTACCATGATCCTCATTCCTATTTTCAGTACCAAGATCAAGGTGAAGGTCATCATCAATCTTACCCGGCATATGAAGAAGAAGTTCAACCAGACCATGCCAACCAACCCCAGTACAACTTCCAATCAGGCAGTGGTAGTTTTCACAACTACCATTATGGAGCTGATGAAGGTGCCTTTCATGAGCTAGATCAGATGGAAGATGCCCTACCAGAACCAGTCAGTGACCCCTCCGATGAAGAAGGAGAGAACAATGTCAGTGCAGACAGCTCCGACCCTCTTGAAGGTGCTGATGATTCAGGACCAGAGTCAGACTCAGATAATGGTGATGAGGTGGCTCATGACCGTGTACCGGTCCCCTACTAAAATCACAATCCAGACAGAGATTGGATGGTCGACAGCGACATGGAACCGCCGGAGGTTCCAATATGGGGTCCACTCACTTGGTTTATGAAGGGCCAACAATTTGGCTCGAAGAAGGAGGTGCAGCACGCCATTGATACTGAAGCAAAGACTCGGCATTTTGAATGGCACACAACTCATTCCAACACAAAAAGGCTCATAGTCAGATGCCGTAATCATAACGAGGGATGCAATGTTAGGATCCGGGCCATTAACAGCAAGAGACACGACCATTGGGTCATATCCCGTGCAGTGAACACACACATGTGTGTCATCCATAACATCCCAAGGCCAGCGGCAGTTGAAATCCAGGGTGGTTGTTGCGGCTATCAAGCATCTAATTGAGCAAGATCCTGACCTGAAGGTGAAAGTCATAATTGCTGACATTGCAAGTCGTTATGGTTATATGATTAACTACAAAAAGGCGTGGCATGGAAAGCAGAAAGCTCTGGCCGCGGTATATGGTGGTTGGGAAGAATCATATGCATTCCTTCCCAGATT